AAATTCATACGGTGCCCCCTGGCCCTCAAAGGGTCAAAAAACCCTTCTTTTGCATCTTTGCTTAATTGTTACCTTGATCATTTGACTGCATTATTTACAAATGCAATCCTTTGTCTTGGCAGATTTTCTGCGAGGACTTGGCAGTATATTGTTTTGTCTGTGATCTGACTGTAGCTGGGAATTTCAGGAAGGTTGTAATTTTATATATGATTATTTGGAAGCAAACCCTTGAAATATATAACTTTCCATATTGGCCAAGGAAACATGGACAGGACAACATAATAGGAACACAAAACTCCTTTGCAAACAAGTTTATTCGTGCTACTTGGAAAATATAGACAATGTGTTTTTGTTCATAGATACTCATTAAAAGCGGGGTGGGAGGACATTATACCCTTACAGAGTATAAGCTAACTTTCATATAGTAAATTATTGGAAAAATCAAAGTAGAAACTCTTAACAGAAATAAGGAAAGAAACTGCTATTTTTCAAGGAACTTCTGTGGTATTAGAGTGCTGCTTGAATAAGTATGGATTTGAATGCTGTTTATATCCAGCTCTAAACTTGTCCAATCTTCAGGCATTTTGCTCTCCTTTGATTATGTATGAACCTACATTTAGAATCGTTAAAAAAATCAAAACAATTAGCAGATTGATTTCTTTTCAGCACAAAAATGGGGACAAATGGAACTGTGCTCCCATCATCACCATCCATCATCCCCTGCTCCCTTCACATCTAGCGAATCAATTATTTCCATTTTTCAGGATTGTCTAAGAGTGGATCATAGGAGGCTCAGGCAGACACATCAAAAAGAGATTTTTGACCAAGTTCTGTTTAACCAGAACGTTAGGAATCTTGTTTCAAAATATCATAATTGCACCTAGAATTTGAGCCTTCAAAGATTTTGATTTAACAGTACTCTTCCTAACTAGACAAGCTTTTTTATGATTTGTAGCATAATTCAGACATCATTAAGAGGATCCAAAGCTTGTTCTTATTATAGTTTTATCAGCACAATGATGACAAGATGATAGCAATAGACTTATATACCACTTCATAGTGCTTTATAGCCCTCTCTAAGCAGTTTACAGATTCAGATAATGCCCCCAACAATCTGGGTCCTCATTTTACCGACCTCGGAAGGATGGAAGGCTGAGTCAATCTTGAGCCAATCAGGATTGAACTCCTGGTAGTCAGCAGAATTAGCCAGCAATACTACATTCTAACCGCTGCATCACCATGGCTCTTGATGCCAAAAGATGCTATGACTAGTGATGAAATGACTTAATGCAGCCATTGTATCACAATGCCACATTGCTATACACATTTGGAAATACAATACGTTCAGCCATGAAATTATTAGATGTCATTTTATCATCTGACCTGGTTTGTGTTGATGGTGAAGTTAATTGATGAACACGTATATCTGAGTGAAGATTTCCAGTTCTTGGACAAACAGGAAATTGTCAAACTTCATCATCAACTAGGAGATTCAAAGACTTGAATGCCTTTTAATGCTACCCTTAATTTAGAATTCTTTTTTGCTTTTTTTCAGGCACGAAACGTGACAAATCTGACAAAAGCAGACAACTTAGCTAAATACCAAGCCTTACTCTATAATTTTGCAGGAAAACAAGAAACAAATCATCAAATCTAAGTGTGCCATAAGTACCGGTATGTTCCCAAGCTTAATAATGTAAATAATATACAAGGGGGAACTGCATTCATGACAAACTATCTAAACTCCCACACTTATTGATTCTCTTTTGCAAATCCTTCCTCTGGTGCTGCTGACCAACACTTCTTCTCACCCTAATTCTAGCTCTAACCCTGTTTCAAACCTTGGAGATCAAACTTGGGGAGGCAACATTTTTGAAAGGCCTGTGTGCATGTGTTCAACTTCTGCACATGTTCAGCTAATTCAACATAGCAAATGTTTTGTTTTAGATTTTTTATTTAAAAGAATCACGAAATATTTAAACAGAAAATAAATAATAAATTAAATCAAATTCTCTTTATCTATCTATCTATCTATCTATCTATCTATCTATCTATCTATCATAACTATCTTTCTTTCTTTCTTTCTTTCTTTCTTTCTTTCTTTCTTTCTTTCTTTCTTTCTTTCTTTCTGTCATGTGTCTGACTAATGAAACACTTCAAAGAACTTTCAGGCATCGTTTAACCTAAAAAGCCTTTATTAGTGTAAAGGAGTGTCAGCACAGCATGGAGAATGCCAAGATCTGAATTTCCCTTCCTTCGCACATGACATTCCAGGCATTTCCCCTCCCCTATTTTGGGGTCATGATTCACATCTTCCAATTAGCCTGGAGGGCAAAGATTCACTTCCATTCCCTTTCTGTGTGCTTTTCTCTCCTCTCTCATTCTCATCTGAATTAACTCTAAAAGTACCAGACAGTTCTGCATATTTTGTCAAAGCAAGAATATTCAATATTAGCAGTGTTGACACTTTCTTTCTTTCTCTTTCTATCTATCTATCTATCATCTCTATCATCTCTATCATCCATCCCCTTTCTCTTTTGTCTCTAACATCTATCTATCTATCTATCTATCTATCTATCTATCTATCTATCTATCTATCTATCTATCTACCTACCTACCTACCTACCTACCTACCTACCTACCTATCTATCTATCTATCACAGAGGGACTCTGGTGGAGTACAATAAGATATTAAAACATAAAAACAGTATATAAAAATTAAAACTTACAAAGGGCAAGAATGATTAAAACAATATTAAAAATTAATTAAAAGGTGGAAGGAGGCCTTTCGCGGAGCCTCTCTCCTGCTGCTTGTTGATTAGGAAAGCAAGCTGTATTCTATCATAATCAGGGAAGTTGCATCTTCAACTCACTTGACTGTTTGATACTGTGGAAATCATCATTTCTCAGATGTTTCCTCCCTTGAGAAAGAGGTTTCTGTGGCTATCTTCTTCTAGGGGTGCTTGAAAATTTCACTTGCATTTCCCTGCATGGAATAGTGGGAGGTCACTAAGAAGGCTACTGCTGGGATCTCCTTGAAGTCTCTTTGAATTTCCTGCCCACATTTTTTTTTCCAACTGGCAAATGCTACAGCCAAAAGTTCCCTCGTCATGGAAAGCCAGGGAGACTATGGAGAGAGGCATGTGCAATGACAGATGAGACATTTGCATTCACTCCTTGATGTTGTAGGAAAAATACCCAGGAGAATTGTTTTGCAAGGCACTGGCTACGATTGAATATATAAAGGACCAACGTTGGGGGAAAAAATGCTAGTGTTAGTCATTGCTGCCTGGCTGTGCCTTGTCATGCCTACTCAGTTTCTGTGTATCAGGGTCACTTCACTCAATAGGTTTCGATGCCTCTGCTCTCTGAATATTAAATATGTTATATTTGGTGGCAAAGCCCAAAACAGCATATACAATGAACAGCACAGTGAAACAGGATAAGCTATTGACAATAAAAAAGGGAGAAGTTTAATAACAGAGATGAAATGCTAACAAACCTTTCAGGTGAAAGTAACAAGCTGGCATCCAAATTTAGGCTCAGCACCTTCTAACATCAGTCACAACTGGACATTTGACACAGGACTTTGACATTTTCAAGGTCCAAGCTTGTCTATTCTTGGAATCCCAGCAGGGTCAATCTTGGCTAGTATTTGGTTGCTGTAGGTTGTCTCCCCTGGATTTGTATCCATTCCAGCTATTGTGATAAAAGGGCTGATTGTTTGTCATTAGAAAAGTATCCTCAGACTCATATAATAGTACAAATATTTTATAATTCCTACATATTATTAATTACTGCTTTTCTTATTTTCTTTTCCCCACTCATCTCCCCCCCTTTTGAATAATGTCTTCTTAGACCAGTGGTTCTCAACCTTTTTAATGCTGCGACCCCCAACCAGTCGTAAGTTGAGGACTACTCAACCAGTCATAAGTCAAGGACTACTCAACTGGTGCAGCACCGTTTGCAGAATGGGACTTTTGGTGGGCTCAGCAGGGCAGAGACAATCTGGACAATTCCCATTGGCTTTTGAAAGCCAATAGAATTAGACTCTATTCAAGAGAGTCTATTCTATTGGCTTTCAAAAGCCAATAGAATAAAAGGGAGTAGCACAGCTAAGGAAAAGGGGGAAAAAATGGCGGACAGCCTTGTTTGGCGACCCCCGTGAAATGGTCGTTTGACCCCAAATGGGGTCCCGACCCACAGGTTGAGAACCACTGTCTTAGATGGTAAGCCTAAGAGCAGGGACTGACTTTATCTAGACACTTTTCTCAGATAAATATCTAAAATAAAATGAAGAACTTGAATAATTTAATTACTAAATCATTAAGTTCTTATATTTCCAAGCAACAGGACATCTGTAGATCTGAAATTTGAGCTGGCCATGAACAAGGAGTGTATATCGGAGGTGGTGACCCTTTGAGAGCTGTATGCAATGAAATTTCATTTTTATGTATGCCGATTGGTGTACTTTCAAAGTGACAATAAAATAATAATAATAATAATAATAATAATAATAATAATAGTAGTAGTAGTAGTAGTAGTAGTAGTAGTAGTAGTAGTAGTAGTAGTCCTGTGCCAATGTGGTTCCTCTTCCTGTTGGAAGACTACTAAATTCCTGAGCATCAAATGTAAAAACAGCTTTCTTCAACAGAAGGGAACATGTCATGTGTTCTTATGTTATACTTTGCATGTAATTTTGTTTGCTTATTTGTATTCCACCTATATTATTTTTACCAGTAACTCAAGGCAACAAACATACCCAACACACCGCCGTTTATTTTCCCCACGACAACTTTTTAAATTAAAATAATTAAAAGTAATATATACATTATGCTACATCCTAGGTTATTAATGTTCATAATAAGGAAGAGGTAGGTCCATAAGGTCTAGAACAGAACAGAACAGAACAGAACAGAACAGAACAGGGTAGAGTAGAGTAGAGTAGAGCAGAGCAGAACAGAACAGAACAGAATAGAATAGAATAGAATAGAACAGAATAGAATAGCTTTATTGGCCAAGTGTGATTGGACACAAAAGGTGCATAAGCTCTCAGTGTACATACAATCAACAAAGGGATAAATCATAAATAAAGGTAGAAGAAAAAGCTGGAGGAGACATGAAACTTTTCTATATAATTTATTTGCACTGGAACAAGATTGTCTCAATGTATGTATGCAACTATATGGAGAAATGTGCTATGGGGACCATTTCTTGTTTGCATGATAATTTCAGCACAGCAGTAAGAGGTTATTTGCACCTGTGAAGTTTCATTCCTTGGATCTAAGCTGTTTCACCCACGTAGAGAAGTCAAGTAATTGTAACCAGACTTCTAGGGTACCAATGGCCAAGAGGATCCTTGGCAGCAATTTCTGTCATTGCATTGCATTTTAAATTGAACTGCTGCAGCAGCTGTAAAAATATGCTGCAAAACGAAGCTGCCTGCTGCTGATTAATCACATATGGGAGGAGGGAGGCAGTGATACAGAGAGCAAATAAATTTAATTCCCCAAAGCAACAGGGGTAGAGGAATGAACAGGGACATACTCGTGTTCCTTCAGCACTAAGCTTCTCCATCATCAAATGATCATTTTTTCCTTCTGTTATTGTCCATCCATCCATCCTCCTATCTATCTATCTATCTATCTATCTATCTATCTATCTATCTATCTATCTATCTATCTATCTATCTATCTACCTACCTACCTACCTACCTACCTACCTACCTACCTACCTAAGAGCTGCATGCTTCTCACTTGTGGCACAAAGTTGGCTTTTGCCTAAAGCCAGCCATGCCACAACACAAACACACTGGTCCTGGTGGCTCTGCTGAGGGGGCGACCTGCTAAACATGCTGAGAGTTGGCAATTAGTTATTCCAGCAGTGTAGGGAGAGAAAGACTTGGCTGAGGAGCTACCTAAACTCTCTGGTTCCCGGGTACCAGAGGCACTGCAGTCCTGGTAAGTCCTGAAATTGTTTTGGCACTTGGGTTTTTTTAACTCGGGGTGCAATTTTACGCATTTCTGTTCAGATGCATGCCGCAATGAATTCAGAGAAGCTTCCTTACAGGTAAACGGATTATAGGCGGTTCCTCGTTAGGCTTCAGCTACAGGGTTTGGGGACGAATCAATTTCTGGCGCTGGCGCGACGCTCCCAGCTTCAGACCGACCCCCCACGGCTGCCTTTTTGCGCAACAGGCGAGGCTAAAATAAGGCCAGTCAAGAGCGGGTTAGCCGGAAATAAAGCTCCGTCGAAGTCGGTAGAGCGAAGAAGAGACGTTGCGGCCACAAAAGGGGGCAGGTTCGGAGCTCCCCAGGACAGCCGGTCTTTCCCCCCCCCCCAACCCCGCTCAGCAAATCTTCCTGCAGATCCAGGGCGGCGTTCAGAGAAAAGCAGCCTTAGGACGATGCGCTCTTTGCAAGTCCAGCCCGTTTACCTCGCGCGCGGAGAAAGAGGGAGCGGGAGAGCGCGAGGAAGAGAGCGAGCCGGTTGAGGTGAGGCAACTTGGGGCGGGGGGGGGGAGGAGGAGAAGAAGAAGTGAACGGAGAAGCCAGAGAAAGAAAAGAAAAGGCCCAAAGTTCCCGGAACGGCTCAAGAAGGAAGAAAGCAGCCGTTCCCGCAAGCAGCCCCGGGCTCTCCTTCCCTTGGGGAGAAGGAAGGCTGACGGGAACGTCTCCATCCTGCCCTCCATCCCGCTCCATGGGACTCCCCCTTCCCGGGTTGGAGAGTCGTGGCCCCGCGAGGGTGGCCGGGCCAGCTTTTGGCAGGCGGGCGCGAAGTGAATGAGTGAGTGTGTGAGAGAGAGAGAGAGAGAGAGAGAGGGAGGGAGGGGGGAGAGGAGAGAGAGAGAGAGAGGGAGAGAGAGAGAGAGAGAGAGAGAAGAGGGAGGGAGGGAGGGAGGGAGGGGGAGAGAGGGAGGGAAAGAGAGATGGAGGGAGGGAGGGAGAGGGAGGGAGGGAGAGAGAGAGAGAGAGGGAGAGAGAGAGGGAGGGAGGGGGAGAGAGGGAGGGAGAGAGAGATGGAGGGAGGGAGGGAGGGAGAGAAAGAGAGAGAGGGGGAGGGACGGAGGGAGGGAGGGAGAGAGAGAGAGAGAGAGAGAGAGAGAGAGAGAGAGAGAGAGAGAGAGAGAGAGAGACGGGAAAGGCCGTCGGCGCGAAGCCCTGGACGACGAGCGCCTCGCCGCCGGCCAAGGGAGGACGAAGCCTCTCCGGGGGCGGAGGGAACTTCTGGGGGATCCCAGAGGGAACCCGGAGGAGCGCAAAGCCTCGGAGGAGGCCAAAGGGGGCTCTCTCCCGTTGGCTCCTTATTGAAGCAGAAGGGAGGGGGGGACGTGGTGTTCTGGCGGCCGTGCAAAGTGGCGGGGTGGGGGTGGGTTGGGGGTGGGGGGAGGAGGAGGAGGATCTAAAGAACCGGCCGAGCGGGAGCGTCGCTGCGCCGCTTCGCCTGCCGGGGAGCTCGCCAGTCCGCTGGAGCTGGAAGGCGGCGCGACTGGATGCTGGGACCGGTCCGGGGAGCGCCTGCGTGAGTCCGGTCCGCAACCCCGGGGAAAGATTCAAGGGAAGCAAGCCGGCAAGAAGAAGAGGAGGAAGAGGAGGGTGAGAGCTGGGGCGGAAGGAGGAGGGGGAAGAGGGAGCTGGCCTCGGCTCGGCTGCTTTGGTGTCAGCCCGTCCCGGTTCTCCTCTCATCTGGAAGGATGGACGGCATCGCCGCCTCCTGCCTTCTCCCCTCTCCCCCCCCCCACCTGAGCCCGGGTGGAAAGTGAGGCTTCTTTCGTGACCCTTTCCCTTTCTCTGCCTCTCTCCACCCCCCCCCCGCAGGCAGAATCGCCGTCCAAGGGAGCCACCATTCCCTCGCCTGACAAGGGAGACCTGTTGGCGCTCGTGGCCCGGTTCTGGCAGAGGAGGAAGCGTCTGGTCGCCGCCGTCGGGATCGCCCTGGCCATGGGCCTCGTCCTGCTCATCGCCCTTCCCCTCCTGCTGCGGGAGCCCTCCGCCGCCCGCGCTCACTACGAGATGATGGGCACCTGCCGCATGATCTGCGACCCCTACAGCGCCGGCAGCGTGGCCGCCGGGCCCTCCGGCCGTCCCGGGAGCACCGCCGCGCTGGAGGCCCTGCAGGAGCTGAGCGCCCATCCGCCCTCCCCCCTGCCGCCCTTCTTGCAGGGTCCCAAGGGGGATGCCGGCCGGCCGGGCAAGCCGGGGCCAAGGGGGGCGCCTGGGGAGCCGGGCCCACCGGGCCCGAGGGGTCCCCCTGGAGAGAGAGGGGATTCGGGGAAGCCTGGACTCCCGGGCCTGTCGATGTCCCGAATCGGACCTCCCGGAGCAGCGACTACAGTGGGAGTAGCCGGGTCGGGCGTGAGTGGTAGTAGCAGCCCGCCGCCGGGAGGCGAGGTAACCGGCGCGCTGAGCGCGGTCTTCAGCGGCCCCCGGATCGCCTTCTACGTGGGCCTGAAGAGCCCCCACGAGGGCTACGAAGTGCTCAAATTCGACGACGTGGTGACCAACTTGGGGAACCACTACGAGCCCAGCACGGGGAAGTTCACCTGCCAGGTGCGCGGCATCTACTTCTTCACCTACCACATCCTCATGCGCGGCGGTGACGGCACCAGCATGTGGGCAGACCTCTGCAAGAACGGGCAGGTGGGTGCAACCCTAGGCGGGCCCTGTTGGGCCGGGGCGTGGCTCCGGGGTTGAGTCACCACGTGCTAAAGAGAGGCAGGTAAGGACAGATCCTCTCGCCTGGCAGAACCTGAGATCGGACACTTATTGGGTGGGGAAAAGGGGAAAAAATCAGCCACGTGCAAATATGAAATCCGCTTTGGAGCTTCTTGGCAGAGGTGCAGCAGAACTGGGTTTCAATCTCCGTTTCTATTCCAAAACATTTTTTTTTTAAAAAAAATCAGTACTTGAAAAGCTAGTCTGCATATGTGAAAAGGCTGCCAGAACTCTTGGTCTAAAAAGGGAATCCGTAAGATTCCAAAAGTAGAAAATTTGGCCATTGTTGATGGGGAGTTTTTGACTCAAGAGACTCCCAAATCACCAATGAACTGGAAGGTGGACCCAGATCTTGAGAATTCACAATGTGGCTCCTTATAATTTGAAGATTAAGGTAGCTGAAAGGAGAGGTCAACTTTCTTCCCTTATTTATCCTTCTGAATGGGTGACTTTATTTACAGGTGTCCCCACAGTCTTGCAGTTTTATCCAAGTATTTTACTTATGTGTTAAATGTCACATGTAGTTAGATCCTCAAGAAATCATTTTTATGGTGTGTGTGTATGCAGCTTTTCTTCCTTCAGGTGATTAATTGAGTCCCTTCTTCCTGTTCTAAATGTCATCTTTGAAGGCCAAGTTTCCATTCTTTTCTTTAAATGTCAGGATCTCCTTCCAATGGAATGAGGGATACTACCTGGCGGGACAATTTCAGTTCAAGGAGAGCAAGTGCCTAACTCACCATCTAGGGGCTTCTTTCCAGAATAGGAGTAGGGAGACTTCGCTTTAGAAAAATGGGGTTTTTTAAGCAAGGGGAGCATTGTAGTACTAGTGGCTTTCCGACTTCATCAGGATTTGGACCAGGAAAAATTGGAAATTTCTTCCAACTTTTTAGAACTTCCAATAAAAATTATAGAATAATTTTTATATCTGCATTATAATTACACACATCTTTCTTTCCACTTCTGACATTTATATTTGTGAATTTAGAGAAAGGGGTTTTCTCTGTTTGCCCGTAATTGAGGCACACCGTAGCAAACATCTTTTATCCCCCCTGAAGTATTCTGCAGTCATTGCCTTCATCTTGTCTTGAATTACAAGAAAAAAGGCCCATGATGAATCAGGCTTAACCAAATAAATGCTGAAGTACTCTTTCCCCACTGCAAACATTGTCCAAAGAGAGGACCAAGGCTCTGTAAGGCTCTGACACACGTTACCTTGGAGAGATGTCAGAGATGTTAATAGAGGATAGGAACTGACAGCAGAAACTCTGAAGCAGAAGTAATTTCTGCTGATTCAAGACTGGATGGAAAGCAGTCAAACTGATCAGTAGAAAAAGTCATTTAGGCTCTTTCATAGAGATGTTTGCTTGTTCAGATCTTACCTCTAAGTTGAGGATGGAGGCATATTCATATCAGGAAAGGGAACGATCCTTTAGCAGAGAATCCCTTTCCAGCAAAATGTGGCACTTAAGACTTAGGGATGTTTTTATCAATGAATGTTTATTGTTTATTGACTTGCATGCAATGGCAAACAAGAGAGCAGGATTTGGGGGGGGGTTAGGGGGGGGTGGGGGATTGGAAGGGAGGTGAGATATTTCTTGATGCCACTTGACAAGATAAGATAACCTTTATTGTCATTTTTTTTTACTGTGGGCACAACGGCACACATCAAAAGTGAAATTTAGTTGCCCGCTCTCAAAGTGAAACACATACATGACACATACCTAAACATACTATGTACAACATATGTATAGACCCACACTCCTACATATACATAGCAAATAAATATTAAATACTGTCCATCTTGAATATATAACGGAAGGAGGAATATAAAGACAATAAAGACAATTCTTTATTTAACAGGCAGTTACATATCCAGTCAAGAATCCACAAAATCTGGAGCAGATGTTACACTTACCCCAAGAATATAGCCATTCATTAATGGATATATCTTATTCCAGGAGTAACATTTAGGAGTAACATAGTAACATAAACATAATCCTCTTTACAGTTCCTGCAGAGAGTACAATGATTATAAGATGTCTATGGCTTTACTGTGCCATGTCCCTAGTTGTGAGATCAATCACAATTGGGACGTTGGCAATCCCTATTTGTTTAATGTTCTGCCTTTTTTCTTGTAATTCAATTATAGTACATGGGTTTCTCCATTTTACTTCCATCACAGCAACCCTATGAGAATGCTGAATTGAGAGAGACTGTTCATTTACTACTGTTTGTAGAGGAGTGTGGGTGGATAATGTGTGGAGAGATAGGCTGATACTATGGCTTTTATTTTTGTATAATAATGACAATTAAAGATACAAACTGAAAAACTAAAAGAATAAAAAAATAGGAAGTGCAGAAAAAAAGAAAAAAATAGAATTGAAAGAAAAAAATAAGAATCTATAGTGAAGGAAGAGAAAATATATATATAAAGAAATATTTCCCCCCTTCATCACAGTATAAACAATTTTAAGAACTTAGCACCTTCTCTTAAAAATACCACAAATGATCTCTTCTCAATATCTCATCTCTTATCTATAAACAAATCCTTAAAGCCTTTTTGTTCAGTTCAGATGTCAGCAAAAGTCCATTAAAGATTACCAGAGAGACCAACATATTTATTTTAACCTTGATCAAATAAACCAAATATAATTCCTTCCTTTTACTTTTAATGAACATAATATTTAAACATTTCAAATAATATCCTTGAATTTGATTTCTTTTAATTTTTTTTCTTTATACCATCTCACAAAATTCTTAAAGAATTTAACAAGTCTTTTTTGTAAATCCAATATGGAAAAGTTATCCAGATCAATCTTTTGGTTTGTTATTTGTATATATCCCTTTTAATTACTATGACATCATTCTGTTTCATTTGCTTATCCTGTGTAGAATCTTTTCATATATTTCTTGTAGCCCATCTTTTTAAAATCCACTTACAAAACTAGTTCATCTTCCATATCATCTTCCATTATAATCTATGTATAGTGGCAGACACTCTTAAAATGAACTTCCGGATCTTTTGTTCAGAAATATCCCCCAATGTTAAATTATTTTGCTTTGCTGTGCATTAGTAAATCAAATTTAAGTGTTCTTTTCCTTTAAATATAATCTTCAGTATAGTTCCAACTTTCGGTATCCATTCTTAGAATTCAAAACAACAGCGTTTTCCCATGGGAAGGATTGTTATATTTAATTTCAAAACAAATTCTTCTTCCAAATCCTTCTGGATCCTTAGTCAGTTCTTAACTTTCCAAAATCAAAGTTCTAATCACCGCTTTGCTGTTTATTAAAAAAAAAAAGTCCTTAAACTTGCATTTTAAGCTTTCACTAAGGACTAAAGGAAACTCATCAAGTGTTAAAATTAATTTGTTGTTATAAAGATTCATAATATCTGGAAAACAATCAATAAGCAATTTCCAAATGTGATTAGAAAGGAAATACGTTAAGTCAGTGTCCATTAAGGCTCTGACCACAATTTGGGTGGAGAAGGTATTCCCTTGTCTCCAAGAGCTCTAAACCCATTGGAGATATCTGTAAGAATAAAAGAATGATAGAGCTGGAAGGGACTTTGGAGGTCTTCTAGTTCAACCCCTGTTCAAGCAGGAAACCCTATACCATTTCAGACAAATGCTTGTCCAATCTGTTCTTAAAAACCCACAACTTCTTAAGAGCACCTACGGCTTCTATTCCACAGTGTCCTCATGAGGAGCAACTGTCTGTACAGTTGTGAGTGATCCTTGTCTGGACAGGAATTTCAAAGAGCTGATCTGCTTGCTAGCTCTTGAATAATGAGTCTGCAGCTCCATTTTTAAAGGAGCCATTTTCAGTTCACCCTTTCTTCCCCAGAAGTCCAGTGTTTCTCCTTTTAGAAAGGGCCCCATATATTTCTCCAATAAGTTGAACATTTGTGGCAAAGGTACTTGTTTACTTGCTTATTTATTAACTACAAATGTTTTATACTGCTTTGGTTAAACAAAAATACACCTTCATATAAAAGAATCTAAACCAGTGGTTCTCAACCTTTTTAATGCCGCGACCCCAACAGGTCGTAAGTTGAGGACTACTCAACTGGTGCAGCACCGTTTGCAGAATGGGACTTTTGGCGGGCTCAGCAGGGCAGAGACAGCCTGGACAATTCCTATTGGCTTTTGAAAGCCAATAGAATTAGACTCCATTCAAGAGAGTCTATTCTATTGGCTTTCAAAAGCCAATAGAATAAAAGGGAGTAGCACAACTAAGGAAAAGGGAAAAAAATGGCGGACTGCTTTGTTTGGCGACCCCTGTGAAATGGTCATTCGACCCCAAATGGGGTCCCGACCCACAGGTTGAGAACTACTGATCTAAACAAATCTAACCCTTTATCACACGGGTGTCAAATTGCCAGCCGCGGGCTGGATGCGTCCTGTCGAAATTGCGCCCACCCCATTGCCAGCAATGGAAAAAAAGTCACGACATGTTATGTGACATTGCGAGTTTGACACCCCTGCTTTATCACATGATGATGCAATGGTATAAACATGCTCTGTACATAAAGAAGAGTCTTTAAATTACATAGCTGCTAGCAAAATTAGACAGGGAGCCACTATTACCTATTATTAGAATTTTAGGTTTACTGCTCTTTTTCTCTGGGATTCCATTCTGTAATAGAGACCCTAAATTTGACTTTATCAGGGCTCTATGTATAATTGCATGATGAAGATGATGTTGTTGATGATGAAGGCCTGGAGTCCATCATTCAAGACCCTAAGCTTTGCCTTAATGAGTTTTCTATCCTGAATCCAATTCTCTGGACTCCAGAGTGGAACTGAAAGAAAGAAAGCATAGACCTGGAAAGAAAGGGAAGCCATTCACTTATTATTGTGTATGCAGGTTTTGCTATAGACTGAAAGGGAAGTAATTATTTTCTCTCCATGCCAAGGACAGTCACTTCAGTCGAAAGCCTGAGATCAGCCAGTATCTTTTTTTTTTTTTTTGCCCACTAAGCATTCATTTCCTAGAACATTTTTAATATTAGAGTTTTTGTGGGTTTAAAAAATAATTTCTGGATTTGTGTATTAATGGCCACAAGCTTGGACATCTTTGTAAAGGGACTACAGTGAAATCAGGGTGTATACAGATATCAATAAATACTAACCATCATGCTCATATAGTATAAATAGCACGAGAGTAATATACCTCTCCATACTAGTTGCTCGGGTTATGAACAAAGAATAAAAATATTGTTACATTAGTTGAACTGTTTCTGACATAGGTGAGCTGGGCTCTGCTAATGTTATCATAATAGTCTCTGTCTTGTATTATTTGTAGAACATCATCTCTTAGTCATGGGAGATCCTATAAATGCTGTTTGTAACAATTTTAGTACTTCTCAATGAACTTTACTAATCTGATATTTATTGTCATAAGATTTCTTTCTCCCATGGCCATTAACTTCTCTTTTTGTGCAGTATCATACCCTGTATTATTATTTCTGGATCATTGTAAGATTTTGATATGAACTGTGTGTATTTCTATGTGTGTATTGTGTGTGTGTGTGTGTGTGTGTGTGTGCATATTTCTTTGATCCAAGAATGGAAAAATGTCATTATCTTGTTTTTTTTTAAAACTCACAAATGCTTTCAGTACAGAGAATGGGAAAAAAGGATATTCCCATCATTTTAGTCATGTCCTAGAAACCTCTACACTTGTGGTTTATTCTATGGCTTTATCTGTTTTTGTGGCAGATTCCCATAAATTCTTTTCCAGAACCATGGATAGCTCCCTAAAACCCACAAGGTGGGCAGGGAGTATATGTAGATGGTGATGCAACCAATGAATAAAGTTCATTCTCAACATCTCATGCTTTTCAACTGTTCATTGTATGTTTGTACATACACTGCATAAGTGCCTGGAGGGAAAAGGAAAATCCCCGCTGTATTTATCTAATAAATTATAGTTGTTTCTGACCATAATTCAACAGACAGTAACTGGCAGAGTCAGTTTGGGACAGTGGTTAAATGCATTAGGCTAGAAAAAGGGAGATTGGGTGTTCTAGTCAATTTCAGCCCTAGGAAGAAGGTAAGAACTTCTAAAAATGTTGTCAAAACAACAACATAGACCTGTCCAGGCAGTTGCTAGGAATCAAGACACACATGCACACACTAGGAATCAAGTGTGCTAGGAATCAAGGCATTCTCTCTCTCTCTGTGTCTCTCTCTCTCTCTCTCTCTCTCTCTTTCTCACACACACACACACACACACACACGCACGCACGCACGCACGCACACAGAGTGAGAGTTAGATAACAAAAAGTCCTACATAGATGTGGTTAGCCCCTACAAAGATATGATTCCTCTGGGGATTATTATGTGAATCCATTCAGATGCTTGCTATGACACTTTTATGATTGGACCGATGATCTCTTTTAGCATTAAGAAGACTAGATTAGGTTATGCAGGATGATGGAAATTAGGGGTGCAGATGGCATTAATTTTGGGGGAGGGAAGAAAATCGATCACATAATGGTTTGACTATTGATCAGTTATGGTGAATGTGGGCTAATGTGCACATGAGGAGGTACAGAGAATGAAATTTGGGGAACTGGAAAGTGATGATAAAACTGGTTATAAGGAAGGAGGAGAATAAAAGGCACAAGAGAGGAGATCAAGAAAAAGAAATTGGCATGAGGATGTGGAGTCCAACAGTTAATCTCATGCATAGTCAAGCTGATTATAGAAAAGGCAAAAAAGATAAGTGTTTTCACCTTATTAATGTGACATTGGTATTGGACTTTTGGATTATTGCAAGAGAAATGTAACAGTTTAAACTAAAGAAGCAAAAAGGCTAACTAAGGAATTGCCCTGGAATTAGCAAAATGAACCAAAGCACATCTGTTTCCAACTTTGCTCAGAGGAGCGAAAGGTACCAACTAATTTGTTCATAAAGGTACAAAAAACTGGGGTATCATCTTTTCCATTATTATGATTTGTCATAAATAGGATGATTGGATGAAGCAGAAAGAAAACTTTAAAATAAACCATACACAATACCTCTTCAAAGTAAGTAATGCTTAATTAGGAAATGAACTGAAAGGATTGAAAATATGAGGGAAAGAAGGAAACAGTCAAAATAAAAAGAGGAGAGCCAGATTAACAGAGGGATAAAATTGGGAAAGCCCAGGGAAAGCCCAAAGATCTGAAAGCGGAGAAGCAGACAGATGGGGAAGGGGATTTAAAAAGCCAGCTTGGGGAAGGAGGTGGGAAAAAGAAGGCTGGGAGAAATTAGAGAATCTCTTGCTGAAGACATTGAAGACTCTAACAAAGAGCTGGGTTGCAAAAGCACAAGTGAAAAAAAAAAAAACTTCCCTGAAAAGAGGTTAAACTGTATGTCTTCTACTGTCACATTCAGTGTTCTTTTTTCAAAGGGCTGATCAAGGGAAAAAAGAATATGTATGCATGATGGAAATGATTATTAATAGGAATGAACAAGGAGCAAAACCTAAGAAACAGTTGGCTTGAAGATAAAAAGGAGTCAAAGGAGGGGGAGGCTGTGATGGAAATGAAATAGATATGAGTAGGAGACAAGGGCAGAGATTAATATCAAGGGAGGATCAGAATAAGGTAATCTGATGCAAATGGGTAGCTCTGGAACTTTGTTAGCTCTAACTTTTCAACTTAGGAACCATTTTGAGGTTCTTGTTCAAACACTTTAGGGTTTGTTTGAGCATCCTTTAAATTTGGGACATGTCACTGCCTTACTGATCCCTGGCTTTGCCACTGGAGGAAAGAACCACTGGGTTCACTTCACAGGACTTGCATATGAAGATTGATATCCTAGCAGCATCTCTAGAAGCCGAGGCAAGATAAACAGGCCATCAGCTCCTAGAGATCTTCCAATACATAAAATATTAGACTCTCTACTTCTCACCAGTCTTAAGTCTAGGAAACTAATTTGGAATAACATACTACAGTCTTACAGTCTAGATGAAGAATGGCAATTAAGATGGGAGACTTGCAATAACCACTAGCAAACAGATCACACAAATCCAACAAAACCACTTCCAGGAATGCAGTTGCCTCCCAAAACATGGAGCCACCTGAATAGAATCAGGGCAGGCCTTGCCAGAACTCAAAGGCAAAGCAATTTAGGTGGGCCAAGAGCCCACAATGCCATTGCAGTGCACCGGAACAAACTTATGACACGTATAGTTCAGGAATGTCCCCTCAGGAAATTTCAAGGCTCCTGGGATGACCTCATCGCAGCCATACCAGAAGCAGTTAGATGGTTAGTTTCCTTAGATCAGTGTTTCTCAACCTTGACAATTTTAAGGCATGTGGACTTCAACTCCCAAAATTCCACAGCCAGCATTGCTGGCTGTGGAATTCTGGGAATTGAAGTCCACATGCCTTAAAATTGTCAAGGTTGAGAAACACTGCCTTAGATATTGAATTATAAGACCTATCCTATTGCAATTCCATGGCTCCGTATTATGGTGGTTTTAGTATGGTTTAATTATAAATAAAAACCTGATGGCAGGGAAAAGAGGGTTGAACTGTGCAATGACAGTGGTGGGGGAATTTACAGGACAGAGATCTGAACCCCTCTTCCTTCTTGGCATGATGTGCTTTGCAGGTGCGAGCCAGCGCCATCGCTCAGGATGCGGACCAGAATTATGACTACGCCAGCAACAGTGTAGTGCTCCACCTGGACTCAGGAGACGAAGTCTACGTCAAGCTGGATGGAGGCAAAGCCCATGGAGGCAACAACAATAAATACAGCACTTTCTCTGGCTTCCTTTTGTATCCTGATTGACAGCCAAGCATCTGAGCCATAGTCCATTGCCTTGTCCCCGCCATGCCTTCTCTTTGGGGGGGGGTCTGCTCTTCAGGTCATGTCACATTGCAAGTTGTATTGTACATTGATTGCCATTTGAAAGAGAGACAGTGACATCCTTCTAGCCACTGGTGTGTGTGTCTCTCTGTGTTCTGTTGCTCACTAAAAGAGACGAGATGGTCAGAGAGGATTCATAGGGTAATTGGCACCACGGATTGGTCCGCTCACGGAACACAGATTTAAAACGTGTGCATAGAATCCCACCATGGGGAAAAGGGCAGCCTAGCACCAATAAAACCCTGGTTGTAAAACTTATTTATACGTGGTCCCTTGATCCAGGTAGAGAGTCTCAAACACCTTTGCCAATGCCATTTAATGTCATGAAAATGTATAGCCCCTTTTAAGTGAGTAGCTTTGCTTCAAAATCAGTGCTGGGATTCAACAATATCAGATTTTTTCCCCTGAAGGATTAACTGTAAAAACTGCACTGCACAGAAACCCGAGTGTCTGGGCCATCAGCATGTCAAGAAGTTTCAAATTTAGCTCTCCAAATTCACAAGAAGTCTGACATTTCTCCTATTGGAAAGATTTTAGTGATTAAGCCTCCAGCTTTATATGAACAAAGCAAATGCTTTGCTGTCGGGTTAGAAGGCTTCTCTGATTAAACAAGTGGCTCAGAAGCTATTGACCTCTGAACCCTCCTTTAATCACTGCACATTGCAGTTATCTGCTTGAAACCAATCTAGCACGTTAGGTATGTTTGAAAAAATCCAAGGCAAAAATCAGAATAGGCAAAGTAGAAAAGGGGGTGAATCCTTGCACTTTATTATTTTTCTTCGTGGATAGGAGAGAATTCCTGTTTCTAGACTGCTTTGTATATAGGGAATGTGAGCATAATCACCTTGGTTTTATATATGTATGAATATGTATATAAATATATATATATATGGTTATGTTTATATATTATTTGTATCATCCACCCATGTGCAATGCAAATCTTGTGTGGGTGATGACGTTAACAAAGTTTAATCTTCTGTCTCTACATGAATGAAGAAAAAGAAAAGGAAATCTCATATTAAATTATCTTTTTTTGAGAAGGGCTTTCTGCTGTGTTCCTATAGTGGGGTTGTAGAAGGGAAAGAGGAACGGCTGGGGGAAGGGGAATGAGGTTTCCTTAATTTTATATAGCATGCATATTTGCTAGTGTGACCCAAAGCATCACAGAGTTGTTTTACTTCAATGGCTTTTGGGGGGTAAAGGCAATGGTGGGATTCAGCCAGTTCACATCACTTCAGCAGAGCCGGTAGCTGATTTTTTTGTTGCCCAGGCCCAGAATGGACTTCCGGAAGCGGCATCCACACAGAGAACCAGTTGTTCCCATATCTGAATCCCACCACTGGGTAAAGGGTACCTGGGAAGTTGCTTCATGAAGTGGTGTAGATCCTTCTTCTGCAAAGCCAAGCCAAAGGGTTGCCCCGTTTGCCTCACTTCACATTGTTTCTGGGGGCTGCGTCTGCACATCTGCTACAAACAAGGTCTGGCTTTGAAATAGAAAATAGTAGTACAGGTCATCCTCAACTTACAACCACAACTGTACCCAAAGTTTATGTTGCTACGTGAGTTTTATTCCCATTTCCCATCCTTTCTTGCCACCATTGTGCATACTGCAGTTGTTCCAGTAGTAACTTGGTTGTTAAACGAATCTGACTTTGCTTGTCAAAAGGTCGCAGAAAGTGATTGCATGACCTCAGGATGCTACAACCATCATAAATATTTGCCAATTGCCAAGTGTCCGAGTTTTGACCCACGTGCCCAAGGGGAGGCTGCAATGGTCGTAAGAGAGAAAAACAGCCATAAACCAGGTTTTTTTCCAGCGCCATAGTAACTTTCAACGGTCGCTAAATGAACTGTTGTAAGTTGAGGATTACCGGTAGTGGTAATTTTAGGTCATTTTAGCCTCCATTATATAACTGCATTGTTTCCCTTGGTAAGCTGGTTAATTGCATGTCAGAATCCTCCATCTCATTCTGCTGAGGAAGACTCTGAGTGTCAGACCCACCCATTTTCTCCTAACAGATCTTATCTTACTTATTTATAAGGCCACCCAACTCATAACGATTCCGAGTGGTGCACACAATAAAACCACACACAATACAATAAAAAAGAGAGACAAATTAATAATCCAGGGACCAACATAGCCAGCTCATTTACATAATTTCCGTAGAAGTCTTATACCTCTCTCTCCTTGCACCTGGAGAAAGAGTCAGGATTTCAAGACCCTTTTAAAGGCTAGCAGGGACAGGGTACTTCAACTTTTTTTGAGTGGGGGTGGGGGGGGAAAGATACAATTCTAGAGGGCAAGTGCTTCAACAGAGAAGGGATATTTCCTTGGTTACATTAGTTTAGGTTGTTTTAAAGGTGGGGCAGAGGGCATGCCGTTCTGTTGGTAATTCTATCAAGGTCATGTCTCAAAAGTCTTGGAGACTTTTGGAAAGAATTAAACTCAACCCTGACAAAATCAAGTGGTTATGTGCTTCTAGTTCTCCTGGACTTGGTGTGTTTATTCATAATCACTCACACTTTAATGAACTGTGTACTATCTCAATGCACTCTCTGTGGTGGCACTCTCTGCCTTAAAGGCCCCTCAGAAGCAGGATCCATTGAACGATGGTATTCCTAGTGTTTTCCTGCACTATATGCAAAAAATGTTATATTTATATAAAAATATATGAGAGACACATTTATTTGGACACAGCAACAGTTGTATTGTTTAGCTCCATAGTAGCTTTGTGAAGCAGGCAAGGCTAAAGTGAAATAAAAGAGCCAACATTCCTTAAAAAAAAAAACATGCTTGGATGGAGATTAGTACTTGGTTTCCTTGATCCAGTTTCCCTGACCCTAATTCAGTCTATCTCAAAGTAGCATTGTGTAACTGGGTTAATTACAATTCCCCTAACTGCCTAACCATTTGAGTATGGTATGAGTGATAGTCCAATAAAAGATACAAGCGCTGGGCAAGGGAAGGCGTGCTTACTCATTACAAACAGATTCTTGGCTGTCTTCACACATGGCATGGGAAACCTGGTTGGCTTTAACCTTTTGAATCTATGGGTGGCTTAGGGTGTATTGTGAACATGGCCCATTTGGTTAATTAGTCATAATGAGTTACCCTAGAAAACAGATTCATTTCTCAAGTAGGTTGTGTTACATGAGCAGAGCTGCTGATCTGAAGTTTCTTTGGGGAATCTTTCTTACCTGATGTTAGTTTTTAAAATTTTGTCACAGGATTCTTCCTGTTTCCTAGTGAAATGAAAGTTAAGGTGGTTTTGTTTTCATTTGTTAAGGAAGAGAACCAATTCTGTTCCTTACCAAAACTGTGTTCTCAAAGAAGTGTCATAGTTTTGCAAGCACCTGTTAAACTCATGTATTCATTACTACAGTCTATATGTATATTTGTATGCAAATGTAGAAATATATGGAATACTGTCCTTCAAGGATCTAGATCAAGGACAAGTGATCTGATTTTTATATCTCATCAGGTTGGCATTGACTCTTAGCTACCACATGACAGAATAACTGGGTTCTCCTCAAGCTGGTTCTTCTTCTAAGAGTACACCCATCACTTCTATAAATTACTCCCACCCTCCTTGATGTTATTCATCTTTTTTCTTCTTCTTCTATCTTTACCAGAATAATGGATTTCTCGAGAGCGTTAATATTTCTGTAGAGTGATCAAACTGTGATAAGCTGAACCTGGTTACTTGTGCCTTGAGTGAGATTTCTGAATTATAGGTTGATTGATTTTTATATATTTATTTTGTTTAAATTCATTTTAGGTAATGTATTCAGTTTTATTATCACAATAAATCTCAGCTTAGAAAGTTTTTGGTTTTTCTACATTTCAAGTCTTGTTTTATTTCTTTCCATAATTTATTGTATTTGTTTTGAAATTATCTGATAAAGTCCTAAGCATTTCATTAGATTTTTTTTTGTGGTCTCATAGTCAATCTCTTTTTTTCACCAACTGTTCTTTTTCAAAAGTTAGTGCCCTGTTCTTAATCTGTTGTGTATTTCTTGACTGCTTACTATAGTCTTTTACAAGTGATAGTTGGTCCTAAAAGGCAAATGCTAGCCATCACTTTAACAACTTCATTGTCAGTTATATAGCCAGAGGATGTATCTGTTGTTATTAGTTGGCTTTGCTTATATTTAATATTAGCTCCATTTTTTTCACTTGTAAATCATCTGCATTTTAAGAATCACTGTAATATCATCAGCATAATGCAGGTTATTAATGTTTCTACTTCTGCTTTTAAATCCACATTTAACTTCTTATACTCCAAGGTTTCCTCGTTTATACTCAGCATATACATTGAACTCCTTTGCTGATCTGCAGTCAGTCTGCTTTGCCATGTTCTATCTGGATTGTGGCTTCTTAACTTAGATCTGAGATTTGCATGAGGACAATGAGATGTTCTAGGATTCCCATTTTCTCAAGGACATTCCACAGTTTGACATGATTGACACAATGGAAGTTCTTTTTATTTATTTATTTATTTATTTTCAAATATTTATATGCCGCCCAATCCCAAAGGACTCAGGGCGGCGTACAAAGCTAAAACAATCATAAAACAATGAAATAATACAGTCATACCGCGAGTCCAATCATATCCCGGCCCCCCGGGGACATCAGCCCCAGGCCTGCCGGAACAGGAGAGTTTTAACGGCTTTCTTAAAGGCCGGCAGGATGGAGTAGTTCGAACCTCGGGGGAAAGTTGATTCCACCAGGTCGGAGCCACCACAGAAAAGGCCCTTCCCCGAGGGCCCGCCAGCCGACATTGTCTGGCCGACGGGACCTGAAGGAGGCCCAATCTATGGGACCTCACCGGTCTCTGGGAGCTGTGCGGCAGAATGCGGTCCTGTAAGTAGCCTGGCCCTATGCCATGAAGGGCTTTAAAGGTGATAACCAACACCTTGAATTGCGTCCGGAGACCCACAGGAAGACAGTGCAGCTCGCGGAGGATAGGTGACACGTGGGCATACCTTGGCGCGCCCACAATCACTCTCGCGGCTGCGTTCTGAACCAACTGCAGCCTCCGAATGCCCTTCAAGGGTAGCCCCATGTAGAGTGCGTTACAGTAATCCAGTCTTGAGGTAACAAGGGCATGAGTGACTGTGAGTAAAGCCTCCCGGTCCAAATAAGGCCGCAACTGGTGCACTAGGCGAACCTGTGCAAAGGTCCCCCTGGCCACAGCCGATAGATGTTGTTCCAGATTTAGCTGTGAGTCCAGGAGGACACCCAAGTTGCGTGCCTGCACTGAGGGAGGTAAATTTGCCTCCCCCCAGGACTAAAGATGGACCATCCAGTTGGCCTTTGGGAGGCAAGACCCAGAGCCACTCGGTCTTGTCAGGGTTGAGTCTAAGCCTGTTCACCCCCATCCAGACCCTCACTTCTTCCAGGCACTGGCACATCATGTCGACTGCTTCACTGAAAGGATACGGGGTGGAGATATATAATTGGGTGTCATCCACATACTGATGATACCTCACCCCGTGTCGCCGAATGATCTCACCCAGCGGTTTCATGTAGATGTTAAAAAGGAGGGGGGATAGGACCGAGCCCTGAGGCACCCCATGATCGAGGCGCCTGGGGTCGATCTCTGTCCACCTGCTAACACCAACTGCGACCTGTCAGAGAGGTAGGAGAAGAACCACCGCAATATGGTGCCACCCACCCCCACCTCTCCGAGACGACGCAGAAGGATACCATGGTTGATGGTATTGAAAGCCGCTGAGAGGTCAAGAAGCACCAGGATAGAGGAATAACCCCTATCCCAGGTTCGCCAGAGGTCATCGGTCAGTGCGACCAAAGCAGTCTCAGTGCTGTAGCCGGGCCTGAAACCAGATTGAAAAGGGTCCAGATAATTGGTTTCATCCAAGGATCGCAAGAGTTGAGACGCCACCACCTTCTCTACAACCTTCCCCACAAAGGGGAGGTTGGAGACGGGACGAAAGTTCTTCAAAACAGCTGGGTCCAGGGAAGGCTTCTTGAGGAGGGGCCTCACCACCGCTTCCTTTAAAGGTTGCGGGAAAGACCCCTCCATCAAGGAGGCATTGATTATCGCCTGGAGCCAGCCTCGTGTCACCTCCCTACTGG